TTTGATTCTTAGAATCTTTTCTTTTTTTATAATTTAAAAAAAAAACTATGTTTACTTCCACCACTTCAATGCAATTGTTATCCACATCTACACTAGAATTGTTTATACTAGGAATAAGGTTTAATATATACTTTAATCCTTCAATTTGCATTTAAATTCTCTTTAGACTCACATTTTTAGCCTAATTAAATCATTAATTTAAATATATAATTGTACCATTTATACAAAGTCACTTTATAGTTGAGTGGTGTTAAATGACTTCCATTAGACTAATTAAGTTATGTACCCCACTTCTTTAAATTAAATATGTATTTTAAAAAAGCAAGCTAAATAATTTTCTCTCCTACAAATTCATATATATTGTGGCACTAACATCTCATAAAACCACTATTATCCTTTTTCCTATTTTTATTTTATCCAGTCCAATTTCATTTAATTTATTTACTATATTAAAAAAAGTAGCAATGAATAACTTTTGTTATTGAATAAAAGGAATTCATTTGTTAATTCTATTTAACGATAGTGTTTGTAACAAATTTTAAATATATGGAAAATAAATAAGCTATACAAATAAAATCTAAATAAATATGATTTTATTAATTAAGATAGCTGGTAGAATTCTGTTGATCCTTTAATTCTTCTCTCCTAAAATTTATCCATGATTCGAGGGCCGTTAGTGGCGTGTTTCTCGATTAGGATGATTTAGATTTGACTTCTATATGAATATTCCATAACTTTTTGTGGAATATTTCGAGATCTATATGAATTTTTTTAGATGTCTTTTCAAAGGAATATAGTACCTTTATATAAGGGTACTGAACTAGTATTTAGAGTTGAACAGCCTCCAAGAATTTTAATTGAAACTGAACACATCTACTAAAGTCTCAATTCGAATTAAATACGTCTCGTAGAGTCCTATAAAATTTCAATGTCCACCGATAGATTAACAATTACCTATCAAAAATCATGTGAACTATGGGTTTTTTTTTTTATATATATAAGTGATAGACTAGAGATGAGTTTGACAACTTATTAATTTATATATAATGGATATTGAAATACTTTGTGGAAAATAATAAAAAGATGATAATATTTTGCAACTTATATTTATGAGTTTATTATAATTATCCAGACATGATCATTTATAGAAGATATTTAGTAAAAAAAGGTGTTATTATTAATTTTTTTTTGAAAAACGAAAAAGAAAATAGAGATATAAATAAATTGAATACAAACAAATTCAAATTTGAAAGTGTCAAATCTAGATGTAAAATAAATACATGTCCCAGACAATTAGTAAGAGGACAATTCAATGTTCAAAAAGAAATTAATAAAGTAGTGATATAAAGCATGCTTTCTTGTCAAATTATTTATTAGTTGAAAATAAGAATCTTGTAACCTTTTAATGATAATCTCTTTTATTTAAATAAAATAAAATAAATATAATAAGTAAGTTTGTCTCTCCACCAACTAATTTGTGGAATTATATATACCATTTGAAAATGGTATCCACACCTACATTATAATTGTTTATAAGAGAATTGCGTCTCATTTTTTATCTAGTCGATATTTAATATTTATATTAAAATTAAATAAGTTTAAAATCACGTGATTATGCTTCTAATATATATTTTTTTAATATTATTATTTGTTAAATAATCTTCTACTCATCTTACATGGAATTTCATATTAAATGTCAAACAAAAATTGGAACTAGCTAGAAAGGTAAGACTCATAAGAGTCTAAAAAGGCATTATTATCAATGAAACTTTATTTAATTTAAATAGTGTATATAACAATATATAATTCGATATTTTCGAATTATATCATATAGGATCTAGTAAAGAATAAATAATTTTTCTTTTAGAAATTTTCTCCATGTCCAAATTAAAACCTTGTAAAATAGGGTAAACTGAAAAGTTTATAATTATAAATACATTGTTGAGTTTCCTGATATAAGGAAAAAAAAGTGATAATTATATTGTAAATAGGGGTTCGAAAGTTAGTGTTCTGAATTTCTTTGCATAAACTTCCAATTTTATTATTGTATGTTTAAGATTGATTACGGAGAAGGAATTTAATTTATTCTGTCACGATTAATTTATTGATAAGTACAAGTATAATATGAGATTTGACTTATACTCAAACACAAGTTTATCTAAAAGACAATTAATTTACCAACAAAATATTGCTAACTTTCAACTTCAAATGATCAATTTCTTTTTTTTGTTTTCAATTGATCCAAAAAATGAACCACTATACTTTTTTTTAATGGATTATCATGTAGACCAATAAAAGTGTAAATCTTTTATCTTGTTCTATTCATATAAATCATAGAGTCAAAATATTTTCTAGTATTATCCAAGCAAAAGAAGGTGAAAGTTAGTGTGTACACATATAGATAACCTTTTTCACACCACTTAGGAAACATAATTATTGGGACAATGTAGACCAATATAAGAGAGGACATCTATACACAAATATAAACTTTCCATTGAAGAGTCTTTTCTAGTTCTTGTAGTGGAATTTGACTGTATATATATTCGTTTTCGAGTTTAAATTCAAAATCTTTAATTTAGCGTGAAGAGTCTTATAAAATTGCTTATAATATGTTTTTTTTACGATAAAATTTTGAATTAGTCAGGTTAGTAATTCCTAACACAGAATGGCTAGTCAAAAAGAGAAAGAAGACTATTGTATCTAGTTTTTAATCTTAACATGTAAAATGTTTTTATTTCTTTCTTCACTAGAAAAAGTGAGAGTGAAAGGTGTTAATTTTTTTGTTTGTTTTCGATTAGTATTTGGTACATGTATTTGAATCTTAATTAACTTGGATTCCCGTTGCGTAAGGCCTATTAAATTCATATACACTCTCAAGTTTTTGTCTATTTCATGATTTAAATTCAAAACCTCTGATTAAAAATGAAAAAATCTTATCTATTCCATGATGACCTTGCAAAATATCCCATAGGACTTAGGGGTATATAGTTTGCAAGATATTTTGTAACTATTTATTACTTTTCAGTCTTAAAATGTAACTTCAATTCTGACCAAACCTTTCTTATCTTACAAAGATTCTTTTTCTTTTCTACCAAAAATTGGGGTTTATTGGAATTTCATTTTGGTAAAATATGTATCTTTCAAAAATTTTGGTAACTTTGGGCCTAGTATAGTGGGGCTGGGATAAATCTCTACACATCCAAAAACTACAAGGACCAAAGAGCTATTTGGGCTTATTATGGACTACTAAGGGCCATTGGGCTTTGAAGGCCCATGCACAACTTTGAGGTCCATTTACTCTACTTATATTATCCGAATTCGGATTAGCTGGAATTCAATAATGGGCAACTTTCACATATAGCAAATAAAAAATTCATATTTATATGCTATAGCAAAGTTTGCATAATTGCGCTCCTTAGCAAACATAGAAACTGTATAATTCGCTATACATATACAATTGAAGCAAATTGTATAATACGAAATGTATAAAACAAGAAAGAGAAAGACACTTGGGCAGAAAATTGTGTAAAAATAAAATGTATAAAATGAATTATATTATTATAAGTGTATAGAATGATTATATACAATTTGAATTTGTATAAAATGAGAATGAGAGAAAGACAAAAGAGTCTTGACAAGAAATATATAATTGAATCAAATTGTATAAAACGAGAAAGAGAGAAATTAGATACACTTTGAATATTGTATAAAACGAGAAAGAGAGAAAGGCAAAAGAAACTGGCAGGGGAGTATTTTTATTGTATAATAATAAGTGTATAGGACGAAAATATATGTACTTGCATGTGTATATATACAATTTTCTCACGCTTTATACAAACAGAAACACAATTTATACATTTCGCTTTTCTTTTTATTAGTGAGAAAGGCGAGGGTCGCGAGCGAGATTTGGGAGAGTGGCGAGCGAGATCAGGAAGAGGGGAACAAAAATACGTGTATTTATACAATTTTCTATGCTTTATACAATTAGAAACAATTTTTATACACTTGTGTTTGTATAAAAAGTGAGGAAGCGAGCGAGAAATTGGAGGAGAGTGGCAAGCGAGATATTTTTGAGAGAGAGGCGTCTGACAAATTTTTGCAAATGTTTGCTATGGAGCACAATTAAATCAAACCCTAGCTACTCCATTTAATTTAGGTTATTAGTTTGCTATTATATACAATTTTCCCTTCAAATAATGAAAAATTACATGAATAAATACATTTTTAAAAATAATTACTGATTTTAATGATACTTTTTATTTATTACCATTTATAGTAATATTGTGATAAATTTGTATTATGTATTAAAAGTGAATTATGTATGCAATATATTTGAATTTTAATTGTTTTTGAAATACGTCATGTTTGTTTGGTAAAAAATTGTCACATTGTATTATAAGTGTATTAAAATGTGTGATAAATGTATTATCCATCATTTAAACTTGTATTATATTTGAATAATAAAATTATCTTTGTAATATGTATTAAACTTGTATTATAAGTGAACTAAAAATGGTTAAGTGAAAAAAAATGTTATTGCTATGATAAATATTTTTTTATTATATTATATTTATGTAAGTTTCCCTTCAATAGTACAATATGACACCTTCGTCTTACTTAACCCAACAACTGCTAACTAATGATGGGAGGTTTGTTCTCGTTTAAATTAGGACACCGATTTCTTATTCCTCTATGGATGTGGGACTTCTTAACACTTTTCGCAAGCCTAAACCTTAATTGGAGCGTGAACACTCATATGGACTTGGACAAACCTCCCCTTATAAGCTAGCAACTTTTGGGCATTGGTAAGAAACTCCACATTGATAGAGAAATCAAAATTCAGTATCCTTATATAGATTTGAACAAACCTATCCTTGTGAGCTAGCAATTTGTGAGTCAAATATATCTTTTTTCGATAATCGCCTCCGAACTTAATAAATCAAAGATTGTGTACTATTGTTTATATTTTTTCTCAATAAATTTCAACTAACATTACAGCTTTAAAAATCTTTAAACAACAACCTACTATTATATTATAAAACAAAAAAAACTACACAAAATTTCAACTTTCAGTGAGTTTACTTCAATGGCGACTCAGTATAATCTTTCGTTAATCATCAAGAATCCATCAAATGAAGATGAATTTCTACTTGTTAAGCAAAACCCACCTCCTAAATTCAACGATCCTGAGTATGATTCTTTTTCCGATTCCCCTTTATGGGATTTTCCTTCTTCACCATTGTTACCTCTTGATTCTCCTTCAGATAATCAATTTTCTATACAAGTCCCTGAATCTTGCTCAGATGAGGTTGATTTAAGTAAATTTGATCTTAATTCAGCTATTCATAAGGTAACGAAAGAAATTTTAGTAGCTCAGTTGGTTGGTTTCGTAAACTTTCGCTCTTTATTAGTTATGTTCGATTTCACACCTTGTAATCCCCTTCCCTTACTTAATTTCTTTAAAAAAAAATCCTTACTTTTTTGGGATAGAGGCATAATTGTTGTTGTTGTATCGCGGAGTTAGGTAGGATCAAGGGGTTTATTTGAACCTTCGGCAAAAAATTACACTCTTTATATCTGGTTTATATATGGAACTTCCTTTGGTTTCTTCGTGTCTTTAGTTTTTCATATTTTGAACCCCTTAGTGAAATTCTGGTTCCGCAGCTGGTTGTATCTGTATTTGCTTAGTTATTGGGGTAGGCAAGAAACTTACTTTGTTTACTCAGTTTACTCCTTTTATCTAAGATTATGGACTTTTAAGCATAGGGGTCAAGTTTTTTTTAATTTTGGACGTGAATTCGGAGAGATTGCTGTATTTTGTGAAGAATCTGCTCACCAACCACTTGAACTAAAAATAGCTGACAGATGTATAATCGATATTTAGTAGGTGTAATCACCTGTGCATAATGTATTGAACAGTAAATCCTGTCAGCTATTTGTGTGAAGATACATTTTTTTTCCAGAAAAAATGTTACAGGTCAATGTTTCTAAGAATTGAACATTAAGGATGCTAGCTCTACTTAAACATTTGCCGGAAATTTCATAGTATGAAGGCCCTTTTACGGAAAGAATGTAGATTTCTTGGTGAAATGAATACTAAATTGCTTTCAGCTTACTGCTGTTGCAGATTTTATCCTTTCAGTATCTGGATCTTGGTGGATTTGTCATTTTTAAATGATTAGTTATGAAATTTCATGTTTATTTGGCGCAATGAGTATATGTACTCCCTGTTGGGGCTTATTGAACTATCATTATGCCTTCATTATTCTTATGCCTATCATAACTATTGTTATCATGATCATAATAGTTGTAATTGTTGTAAAATCGCAAGTAGACTTCATGAAAGGTATGGTACTGTTTCTTATGCCTATCATAATTGTTTAAAGGAGACTCGTCTACATATGCTGCAGTCTATACATATGCATGTTTTGCAATATGAAGCTGTTAAAGCTTGTAGGTGATGATCATTGTAGGTTCTAGAGCAAGTGGAATTAGAGGATACCCCAGTTGAGTGGAAATTCATGAAGTATGTACAGGAGCCTGAATTTGGACCAGGATTGCCAGTAAAGACGATCTACATCATTGGAACTTTGGGTCCTAAAAATGGAAAATTAAAGGGTTCGACCAACTTCACTCAGTTCATATTTATCTTTTTTTTAAGTATTAGTATGAATACTGCTGTTGTGATTTAGCGGGGTCTTATGTTGTAGTCTTAGGAAGGAGGATCAATTGCCTCCCAATGTGAGCTTGCTCTTAGTCCAGTTGTAAGAGCAACGTATGTCATTGGAACTATGTTAGTTGTAATTTCCAGCTAAATTAGAACAAATTATTACTTGGTCTTTCCCAAAAGTATCCCCTTTTCTTAAGTAGAAACCTGATGTCACTCTTCAATACTTTTAGAATATTGTTCTGCTATGAAAATTAAAAGCATCCCTCCTTTTATCAATTATCTTTATCGAATTGCAAACTTGTCAAGAAGTAGTCTTAAATCTGCTTTAGGTGCGATAGATATTTCTGAAAGGCTATGTCATGTCAACTCTAATATTCATGTCTATGCCTAACCAAAGTAAGGCTATAAAGCTGAGATGGTGTGGCTTAATTGGTCGGTTGTTGTTAATAATCTAACAAGGTATACTACCAAAGCATATTTCACATATAATGCAGGTTACTAATTTCAGAAGTGTGATCCAATGTTGGAGAAGCATGATTGTTCTTCTACAAATATAACAGATTAGTTTCTCGAGAGATGGTCTGATTAGACTGATTCCTAACTGAATCTGATAAAGTATCTGTGAAATCAATTAGTGACTGCAATCTTTATCTGCGGTTCACATTTGCTTCAACTTTTCGAAAGGAGAAAGCACGTGGTGTCAAAACTCAGTTTGGTGGAATTTCACTCTCTTATCGTATCCCAAATTTGCAAGTCGAATTTAATGGATTCAGTATATAAGACTCTAGGGGTTAGAAACCATCATACATATTTTAACTGCTTCATTACCACTTATTGTCTATTGTGTATCTCCTCAGTGACTGAGAAATGACAACTGTCCTCCTTATGTATTTTCCCAAATGAGATAGCATCCATTATTTCTAATGGGTTATGAATGACAAAACTACCATCTTTTTATACCTCCCTAGCTCTCCTTTTTTCCTCTTGGGATGATTGTCAAGGTTGTAACATGGTAACTCATGCTGAACAGATGTTGAGTTCTGCAAGTGGATGACCACTGAAGGATGCATTAGTATGCTTGCTGAAGTGAAGCCTTGCAATGACCGTGTAGGATCAATGGTGGTTGTTGGTCTTTTGAATGATTCAACAAAATCTGGGACATGGAAAATTCCTCCCACCTTGAAATGTCAGGTTAGTTATTATGTCTTGTGCTTGCTGACCTGTCAGTTCTGTCATTAAGAAATGAGAAATGAATAATACATGGACAACTAATGATATTCCATAAATACCAAATTGACGCTGATATTTCATGGGACAGAACGGGACGGGATGTAACTAGAATTTTTCTGAAAACCTGAAGTCAAGAAAGAACTTAAGGGACACTCTTATCAGAAACTCCCTGATATGGTCATTCATTCTCATTGTTCTTTGTTTCTGAAAGCGATTAAGTCAGCCAGAAATTGTTCATTCTGCACAACTTTGGTGGCTGTTGAGGCTTGTTGAAGTGTAATCACTAAACTTCATTTGAGATCTTTATCCTGAAGTTTCTCTTATTTGCACAAGCAGTTGAAATTTAATCTATATGTAAGATGGCAACTCCAGAAAGAATCCTCAGTCTGATAAGCAATGAATATCATAATGTTTGAACATGTATATGTGAAAATTTTGTGTCTTTGATTCTTTTTTACTATCTTAAGGACAACAATACTGTCCAGTAGGAGCTGATGTTTTTCTCATGTTGCAGGAGTACCCTCTTGGTGTTAAAATTATACCTATGGAAAGTAGAACAGCTAAACCTTTTCGTACAACAAACTTAATTGTTTTCCTGCCTGAATGCAATGCTAATGAGCATGATGATGGTTTTATCGCTCATGGGGAAGCACTCATAGTAGACCCAGGATGTAAGTCATCTTCATATGAACAGGTTAGAGCTAGTACATAATCTACTTGTTACTGTTTTTATAATGTGGAACAAACAAATGATATTTTCCCGGCCTTAGAAGTGAAGCCATAAAATGCAAAGAAAAATCCACTCAAGCAACTACTTTCACATATTTTAGTCTTAGGTGGATAGTGTGTAACAATTTCCTTTACTAAAGATAGATGCACTTGAATTGTTGTACACTTGCTGATACATTTCTATTGAAGTGCGAGACTTCCAGAGGTCTAACAGTGTCTTTGCGAATTCTCTGAAGATTGGTTGACTATAACTTTATAAGGGTCACGTAAACAAGCAATGGAGGCAAATTATAGTATGATACCTGAGAGAGTAAATTCTGAACAATTGTTGTAGGAGCTATGTTCGCTTCTGCTAAAGAATATTGGCCGTTACAAATTTTAGGTGACAGTATATAACAAATAATTAAAGAGACCCTTCACTATCCAAAAATCTGTCTTTAACAATTCCTGAGCAATTGACATGCTTCTTATCTCCATGTTTCCAAGCTTCCTGTATGTTTGCTTACCATATGCCTTAACGATTCACCTTTCTGGCTAAAGCCTTCTTTTCAAAACCTATGATCTTCCTTGCCGATTATGCGATGCTTACATATTGGATAAGAAAATAGTATATGTGGTTTGTTAAAGAAAATGTCAATTACGTTTTGTCACATTCAATAGAAAGATACAGTAGCGGAGGTAAAGCCGAAAATATTTGTTCAGACTTTAGTGTTTGTAGATTGAATAGCTTTACCTCAGCAATGAGTTCCTGCACATGTTTCTCTTTTCTATTTGTCTTGGTAATCTGTTTAGGAGTGGTTGAAACTCTTTTTATGCTTCTTCTGTTTGTTTTCATCTTTTTTCCTTTCTTGTAATTGGTTCTGCCTCTTATGCTGTTGTGACATCTCGATGCTCTGATGCTTGGATTACCAGCTCAAGGAAATCATTGCTGCTTTGCCGAGAAAACTAGTCGTCTTTGTGACACATCATCATAATGATCATGTTGATGGTAAGCAGCTTTCACATCCACGCTTGGAAACTTTCCCCTGCTTAGTGTCACAGCCTTATGCTATGCACAACATTTGATTTTTCTCACACTGATGTCATCATACTCATCAAGGGTTATCTTTATGTATTTTTGTTTTATTTCAAATGATCTTTCTTGAGCCGTCTGGACAAGATCTACGTTTCATGTAAAGTTATTACAAGTTTCAGTTTCTTTGTATCCGGCCCTTTTTATGTATTGGAAAAAATTAGTGCTATTTTTGCAGTTACGAAAAAATTTCTTTATAGACATTTGGCTGGCTTGTCAGCAACAGTTGGTTGATTAACTGCAACATGTATTTATTGGATGTCTATTTCAATAGAAGCTGGAAAACATCTATTAAATGATGAATAGTTTCTTTAATTTTGTTATCTAAAGTATTATTCTCCATACTTTTTTCACCAGACTAATCTGTAGTTTTTGTAAGTAATTTCTGAACATAAACTTGTGCTACCTGCTATGCTCAGGTCTTTCAGTAGTCCAGAAGTACAGTCCCGATGCTCGTCTTTTGGCTCATGAAAATACGATTCGTCGAATTAGAAAAGGTCAGAAAATTTTCAATTCTGTAGAATAGTGTCTATCTTGCCATAATTGAATCACTTTTTTGTTTAAAGAGCTACGCTTTTACTTTACGTTCTATGCTTTTCTAGAAGTTTTATCTAGCTTTTTAGAAGATTTATTTGTCAGTAGAAAACCTAAAGAACTTCTAGTACTTATTGTCATTATAATCATTATTTTTATTTTATATATGGTATTGGCCTAAGATGAATTTAAATGGAGAACTTGATCAATGAGGATTCATATAGCCAACCGTAACCTATTTGGGAGTGAGGCGTCATGTTATTGTTTAAATAGCTAGCAAGGGTTGCGGGTCTATACCCTTTTTTGGTCATGAAAAGAAGAGGGGGAACTATTATGATGAAGGATGACTTTTATGTTTGTCCTTTGTTGTTAAAAGGCAATTGCTTTTCATGCAAGAATGTATTTTCCGTGATAATGGGCTTACAAAGAGACATGCCATATGATGGACTTGTTTTGATGTTCGTAGCAATTTTTAATTTTTTTTTGGGTGGGTGGGTGGGTGGGTGGGGGGATCAATAACTTCTCATTTTGGCTAACAGGAATAGTTTCTAGTTGACTATGATGACTCTATTAGTGTACATTCAAGTGAGCATAAAATATACGCATGTTCGTGCACCATTTACAGCTTACTGATCTCACAGTATGTGTGGAAGTGAAATATTCTTTATCAAGTAAATGCATTTAATAACTTAAAGTAATTTCCATGTGATGCAGATGATTGGTCTCTCCCATATGTTTCAGTTTCTGGATCTGAGGAAATTTGCATTGGCAATCAGAAATTAAGAATTATCTTAGCACCGGTAATCTCCATTTATATCCTAGCTTCCTCTGATGAGAATCAGCACCCCCATGAAATTCTGTTTTTGACATTCATTTTTGTTGATTCTCTTCTGGTACTTGCTTCTTTATAGAAGAGATTCATGGTATTACGAGTAATCTATGCTCAGATTTTGACTTTTGCTTCAGAAATGAACCATTCGAGATTCTCACGGGGCAGAAAGCTTGTCATATCTATAAAGTCTTGTCAATAGAATTTTATGACATTGATAGGTTTTTAAGTAATGAGAGTGATTGTACTGCTACCTTTAAAACATATTTACTAGAGCATGGTGAATTTGTGTTTGAACTTAATACTAGAAGTTGTAAGAAGTGAATTAATTTAAAAGTTAGCTCCTAGTTTCTGAAATGGAATTTTCTTTGTAATGCAAGTAATCTCTTAGTTTTACTTCTGTGTTTACTCAACCCTCCATGCAAAACATTCCAATTTTCTTGTACAATTTTTTCTGGAATTTTAACACGTTCTTTTGGTGACAATATTGTGATTCAGGGACATACAGATGGACATATGGCACTGCTTCATGTTAGTACAAACTCGTTGATCGTAGGGGATCATTGTGTGGGGTAAGATATGTTTGATCAAGAAACTTCATATCCTTTAACAAATGAATATTTTCACTTGATAAATAATTTGTGGACATGATTACCAATTTTAAATGTAGCTTCCCCCGAAATAGTAATAATAAAAAAATGCAGTTTCCTAGTCCTTTTGAACAATTCTTTTAGCTTTTCTATGATGATACGGAAAACAATCTGTTCAACAAGTCTGTGATTGTGTTGGCCTACTTTGCATTTGTTTGTGATAGCTTCTCAATTTCTTCTCCTTTCTTAAAAATTGCTAATTTGATGTATCCCGTTGGTTTCAGCCAAGGAAGTGCTCTCTTAGATAGCGCGTCTGGTGGAAATATGCAGGTAAGTAACAATAGCATCTGTATGTTTCTTTTTGTCACTCTGTCATACTTGGAATGCTAATTAGAAGATGATGATTGGTTGTTGGTGTCTTAACTTTTGAAACTTGATTTAAATAAAAGGATCCGACTCTTCAACCAGAAAAAACCCACTATACTTTTCTTTTCCCATATAAAACTCGTTTACTTGTTTTCTTGTCAATGAGCAAGCCTTGCTCATGCATTCTATTAACTTTCTTGAATAGCCTTTTCCTTTCCTCTCTTTAGCCTTTGAAACTTAAATGTGAACTAGCACCTCTACTGAAAGCAGTGAGAATTAAGACTATACCACCACATTTTTCATATTCAAATTTTATATCCAATTCTAGATTGTTGATTCATATCAAAAAGATCAGCTATGAAAGTTTTTAACAGTTTTAGTCAATTGAATGGCAATCTAAATCTAGTATTGTGTCTGTTAAGGGTACTTAGATGGTGAAACTATTATGTTTTTAATATTGTCTTCCACAGGTTCTTTAATCTACATTCAGGTTCCCCTATTAAAATTTGAAAACATTCACTCAAAAATCACTAAAAACTCGCTAAAAAAGTGAATGAATTTCTTTCTGCTAGGGACAGGGGTTCAGCAAGAGTGTTTTAGCTGAATTCTGTAAATCTAACTTTGATAGTTTTATTTACCTTTTACAATAATGCTCATTTTATAATACCTTGTGACAATACTGAATAAGATATGGATTAAAGGAAGTAGGGGGTTGGGGAATCAACAAAAGTGCATTTGTGAATTCTGTAACTTAAATTGCTTTCTAGTTTTATTTTTATTTTCCGATAATGATTTTTGCTGTTTTCAATAACCCTAGTGAATATACAGAAAAAGATTAAGATTAGAGCAACTTGTAGGTGTTCATATCTGTTTCTATTATCATGTTCAACTATGACTTGGTCTTTCTCTTCTTTTTGAAATTCTCAGTATCGGAACTTCAATTTTTTTTTAAACAGGATTACTTTCAGACAACATACAAATTCATTGAGCTCTCTCCTCATGCGTTGATTCCCATGCACGGAAGAACTAATATGTGGCCAAAACACATGCTCTGTGGGTATCTCAAGTATGAACTTCAGACCTCTTATGACATATTCCATATATGCTTTCACTCAGAGTGCCTTTTCTGTCTATCAGCTATCGGCAAAATCATTGCCGAAGTATATGGTTAACAATTGTGCAGAAACCTTGCTTGTTTCCTTGTTGCTTTCTCCCACCATGTAAATCTTGTAGTCTTGTTTTATTGAACATTATGCTAATATATGTCATTAGCTGTGAAATTTGTTCAGTTAGTTTTATGTTCAATGTTTATTGATGTTGTCTAAGATAGATGTCAATCAAATTATCATTCTCAAAAAATTTATAAAACAGATACACTGATAGATTAAATTGACGCACATCTAATTTATTATTATCTGGGATTGTCAGAAACCGGAGAAACAGAGAATCAACCATCTTAATGGCAATAGAGAATGGTGCTAAAACATTGTTTGACATAGTTGCTTACACTTATGCCGATGTTGACCGAAGCCTCTGGTTTTATGCCTCATCAAATGTGAGACTCCACGTGGATCATCTAGCAGTCCAGAATAAATTACCAAGTGTATGTATTCTTTGTTCCCTTGTGATTTAACATCAATTCATTATATGTCAGAGCTTATATTTATGATCACTCCTGTTTTGGATGTCAAATTTAAGGTTCAATAATAAGCTTACTAAAACTGGAGTCCTCTTTGGAAATCCGTGACGCTTGGCTGTCTTAGCAGCTTTGAAAGAGCCTCTCTTTACAGTCAAAACTGTCTGTTTCATAGAATTATGGTCCATGGAATGTAGTAGTTTAAACTTTTTTGTACCAGTTTTCACATTAAATGATATGCATGCTTATGTTTCCTGAATGACTTAACCTTGAAGTTGATATAATTGCTTTTAGTCATGTGGAAACTTGTGGTGATCCATAAAATTAGATTCAGCCATTTGAGCCCCGTAGATAATAATTGACGAGAGATTCCATGCTTGCCAACACTTTTATGTCCTGATTTGCTCCATGTCTGGCTTGAGTGTAGACATAAGTGCAATAGTTGGGCCATATATTTATATGCCTTTAGTAACTTAATTGATTAGGATACCAAACTTTTCTGTGTCATGTGCAGGACTTCTCTTTAGAAAATTTCAATCGCAGTTGTGCTGAGTTTGCTGGCATGGTGCATAAAATATAAGGAAACTTTCAGAAAGCAGCCCCCTAAGACCTGCAGTTACCTTTCTTCCTTTAGGTTGGATAACTACTTATTTTCCTTGTAATAGCTAGTTGCTACTGCCTACGTACATTTCATCAGATACAGTCTCGAAAGTAGATCACTATCACAATTATGGACGACTACCTATTTGTTTGTGCACTTGGTTTTTATATTTCCAAAGGGCCTTAGAAGTCATTTCCATCATCGATTTGCAGGATTTTTCAATCCAAAGTTTTCAGGCAAGTTATGGGCTGCGTTTCCTTTTTAGGTGGATATTAGAATACTCAAGTAGTGCATTCTCAATAAAGCATCACACAGTCAGAGCGGCTTTACTAGTCGGTACTGGAGCTCTGGCCATTGGTTGCTTGGCTGTATCATTCTCCAGAAAAAATGAACTCCTCTCTAGGTGATGCAAACAATTCTTGCTCCGGAAGGCAGATTTCGTCAAGGAAGTTAATTTACCGTCTGGCTCCAGGTCATGTTCTCTCTCATTGTACCAGAAGCTCTAGGAGAAGCATGAAGATGTTTACATTAGTAGTAAAATACTCATTGATAGTGTTGTGCGCATAACTCGCCATCATTGTTCTGCATTTCTGATATTTTTTTGTGATTAAAGAAACCGATTGGATCAATTAGAAGTGTAAGACAAGATTATTGTTAATGGATCACACAACTTCTGAGACAGTTATCATAGAAATCATCTTTTGTTTAATTAGCAGTGCCTGTTCTCATCCATGAGCGCATCTTTCACTTGAAGTGCCAATTATTGAGCCAATGGATTTGGTTTGCTACAATCAGGAGATTCATCATCTACCATATATACAACGTGATTTTTGGCGGAAGAAGGTCCGGATGAACCCCTTTTGCCCCTCTATCTCCGCCCTGGAGCAGGGTCGTGTGTAAGTTTTGTGCATTGTATACATTCATAATAAACACGATCAGATAGTGTACAACAACAACATACTCGGTGTAAAGCCACAAGTGAGGTCTGGGCAGTGTAGAGTCTATGCAGAAGGAGGTAAAGAAGCCGTTTCCGATAGACCCTTTGACTCAGAGAAAAAAAAACATCAAAATAGATACTATAGACAACATGACAGAAAAAAAACTTTCTTCAAGGCTCATAATTGCAGCTTTTTACTTTAACTGCAATAAAAACAAAAACCACACCTTGCCTCTTTTCATTTCACATTTTCTTCTTGCCCCATACTAACACTTCCCATGCTCCTTTGCATGTATTCCTCATTTTTACTTACTTTATACATATCATAAATTGAGACCTTTTACTATCACTTTATACATATATTTTATTTTTTTTAGAGAAATGAGTTTCCATCTTGGTACCACCATAGTTCTTACATTATTTGTCTCATTTTCTGCATTACTATTAGGCTTGTTCATCAATTATCAATTCAACAAGATTGTTGTCTATGAAGATTTCTACTTGCCTCACCAATCACCAATTTACAATCTCTCCATCTCTACACATCTTGTTTGTAACTCATCTTCGTCTGATTCTAGTTCTAATAGGACCATGGAGGAGTTGAATGATGTTTGGCACTCGATGAACGATGAAGAACTTATGTGGAGAGCTTCAATGGTACCTCAAATCAAGAAGTACCCGTTTAATCGAATCCCAAGAGTGGCATTCTTGTTCTTAACAAGGGGTAGATTGCCATTGGCACCTCTTTGGGAGATGTTCTTTAAAGGACATAAAGGGTTGTTCTCAATATACATTCATACTTCACCTGATTTCAACTATGAACCTCCTCCATCATCTGTGTTTTATAAAAGAAGGATCCCTAGCCAGGTTCAAGTCCTTTTTTTTAAGCATTTCGTTATGTTAAGAAATAATAAAATATCCGAGTGTAAGTTCACAAGTAGGGTCTGAAGAGGGTAGTGTATAAGCAGACATTAGTCAACATTACCCCTATCTCAGGAGGGATAGAGAAGTAGTTTCTGATAAACCTAGGCATTTTCTTAGTCCACTAGCCCAACTAGACTAGATTCGCGCCAAGTACGCGTTTCCTACCAATAAGTTCTCCGTTTGTAGGGCTCGAACCTGATATTGGTCTCAGTGGCGTAGCCACATAGTGGTAAGGGTGTCCCCTTTGTCGGAAAAAAAAATAGCATGTATACAAGTAAAATGATACACTAAATGATCAAATAACATATTTTGGACACCCTTAACATAACAAACTGCTATTTCTCGACACCCTTTATGAAATTTCTGGCTTCGCCACTGATTGGTCTATAGTATGTGATAAAAGTTGAAAAGCTTTGATCTATAGATACTAGAAATGCAAGGTAAAACCAGTAATTTCTCAGTGTATATAAGTTAAATCTTTCTGAATCGTGCGTATGTTTTTTTCGCAGGCTGTGCAATGGGGAAGATCAACTATGATTGATGCAGAGAGAAGACTCTTAGCAAATGCACTTTTAGACATTTCCAATGAAAGATTCATATTACTCTCTGAATCATGCATTCCTCTGTTTAATTTCACAACCATCTACACTTACCTCACAAATTCTGACCAAAGTTTCCTCGGATCATTTGATGATCCGAGGAAAATAGGTCGTGGTAGGTACAACAAACGTATGTACCCGAACATAACACTTTTCGATTGGAGAAAAGGTTCACAATGGTTTGAAATACATCGCGAACTTGCAGTAAAAATAGTCTCTGATGTGTTGTATTACCCTGTTTTTAAGAACCATTGTGTGCCACCATGTTACATGGATGAACATTATTTACCTACATTGGTGAATAAAGTTTGTCCGGGATTAACGTCAAATCGGAGCGTTACGTGGGTTGATTGGTCAGCTGGTGGTTCGCACCCGATGACATTTTTGAAGAAAGATGTGACAGAGGAGTTTTTGAAAAGTGTTGGGAGTGAGTTGAATTGTAGTTATAATGGAAAAATGAGTTCAATTTGTTTTCTTTTTGGGAGGAAATTTCATCCTAGTACTTTGCAACCTTTACTTAGGATTGCACCAAAGTTGCTTGGTTTTGGTTGACCCCCCCCCCCCCAACTTACCACCCACCCCACCCCCACCCACCCCCTAGTGAGGAGGAACATGGTTCAGATGATTTCGTGAAAAAGTTTATGTTATATGCATTGACATCATAATGAGATTTCAGAATATCAGATCGATTAGGTTTAAAATTTAGCTATTGATAATTTGTAAATTAACACTAAAGATCGTGAAAAATAAAAAGTGAATTTAAAATGATTAATTTGATAGCCTTGATTATGTTAAATAAGAAAAAATAATTTGAATGAAGAGAAAATAAATTGTGTTTATGTATATATAGAGGTATTAATCATAATCCATATCAATTATGTATATAAAAAAGGAGTTACTACATATGAAGATTATTGTAAGAATTAATTTAGGCATATGAATTATATTAATTTTAATTTTAATTAAACTTGGGGAAGATTAATTAATTAATTAAAGTAAGGTCTTGCTAAAGTTTTTTTTTCTTTTTTCTCAATCTCATAACATATAATTAAAAACATTACCAATGTTTTGATTATTATTTTTCGTTTTAAGTCTAAAACATATTTTATTTGGTTGATTAATCCATTTTGAACATCTAGCAATCTTGTTTAGTCAACTTCAAAAGAAAAGAAATAAACATCGTGTATATTAATTAATTATAACAATATATAATCTAGAATATTTAGTAACAAAATTAATTGCGAAGCTAAGAATTTTATAAATTAAAAATTTAATATTTACATCTATGTTATACAATATAATTTTCTGACATAGAATAATCAATTGATCTCTTTTAGCCTATACATAGCTTTGCTACTAAATAACAATATATGCATGTATAAGCAAATTATTTTTAAAAAGCTACTAAATAACAATATATGAGTATATAAACACATAAGCAAATTATATTAGGAACTTAAATTTCATAGATTTTCGGAGCGTTGAACTCGTAGTTTTATAGTTATGAGTTCAGACTTCAGACCTATTAATTATGTAATCAAGTTTTAGTGAATTTTTACACATGAATTTATGCGATCGCATTAAAAGTATTGACACTGTTCAAATAAAGAAAAAGCTACAAAATTCATCTTTAATACATTGATAAATAAGTTCTAGCTAACCTGATATCGTTATTTTATCGTCAAATATAACTAGCAATATTCAACAACAAAAATTGTTAGTCAATAATTTATGTTTCTTGTATAAATAGGAGTTCAGATGAATTCAGTGACATTATAATATAGGCATATTGCATTCATTTTTTTTAAGACATGTTATAAAGATATTACGTATTTATTGAGTTGATATAAACGTCCCTAAAAAGTAATGTATATGTAGAGGTCAATGGTGATGGCATGTGTTTTGGGAAACTTTTTTGACAAGTCTTCTTCAATGGCAGCTAATTCCAACAGAAAATTGGACCCAAAATTTGAGGGCCCTTTGACTAACTAACTATATTTATAATTATTGCTTTTTTTGTTATTATTTTAACACATTAAAATTATTATAAAAGCTTCAATTTTATTTTAAATAAAATGAAAACTAGTTGCCAACTAAAAAATACAATTAAGAAAAAATCAATTAGAGGAAGGTAGGTATCTTTTGAAACTACACAAATTTGTAATTTGAATATGCTTTGAAATAAGTCAAATTTTTTATTTATTTATTTGTTTTTTATTTTTATTTTGTTTTACTTTTTTGTTTGGGGTTTATACTATTCGTTTGAACCTAAAATTGAAATTTTATTGTTGGATGAAGACAAGGTATGTGCTAGCGTTATATGAAAAAAAAAATAATTTATTAAGTTCAGATATTTTATATTATTTTATTTTTATATATATGAGAAGATAATCTCACTATTTTAATTAATAATGTGATTGAATAATTTCAAAAATTAATTAATATTTAAGCTAAATATGAAATCTTAAATTTTATTTCGATATATATAGTCTTATCCATGACCTTAAAAAGTTTTTATTTTTTATTTTTTGGGTGAGAAGTAATTAATTAATTAAAGGGGCAAATATTGGGAAAATGACACTCTTTTCTATTTGACCCTTCACACAAGAAAAAAAAAGATAGTCTAATTTATAAAATATTTCGTATTTATATAAGTTTTAATTAATATTAGTGATTAATATTATGATTATTCATAACTAATAATAAATTATATAGAGATAATTTTATTATTAAGAAAAGTGCACAAACACATGATTGTGGTACTGTTATATAAGTTATATCTCAAGTTAAATTTTTTTGTGTATATATTTTGAGATAATTTCGAATATATAATTTTTGAAATTCAAATATTTACATCTAGACTTCAAATATGTATATGAGTGAAGTTCACTCTTTTTTTTCATGACCTTAGCTATTTTACTTTAAATTCGAGAATTTTTATCTCAAATTTATCAAAATAATTTAATTTCTTCTAAATTTCAGACACCAAATATCTAATGACAATGTAAATAATTTAATTTCTACAAAATTTCTCAAATAACTATACATAATTAATAAGCACATTTTTTTTTCAATTTCTATTGGCAAAAATTGTCCCATTGATTTAATTTTAATTATCCATTATAAAAGGCACATGTAAGGAACCTTTACTATTTTTTTCAGTTGAATTTTACTCCTTAATCTATTAAGAAGAAATAATTATTTTCTTTTTTATTTATCTCCCAATACTTAAAA